TTCATTAGTAACACTTCAATACAAAACTAAGAACACATGAGTGGCGCATCAAGCATCAATGTGGTGCACTGTGTGCCAAAAGTGGCACACTAGGCACTTTAATGGCGCATCATAATGCATGGCACATCATTGATGCTCCATTCTACTTCCTGATGATCCACTCCAACTCCAGTGCTCCATATTGATCCATGATGCTCCATTTCACCTCCAAGTGCCCCGTTACAACTCCAGGTGATCCATGTTCCTCCAAGTGCTCCACTTGATTCTAAGTGCCCCATCAAAGTGCTCCACTTGATTCTAGGTGGTCCATGTTGGACAAGACTTCATACCCAAAAATTCTCCCACTTAAAGGATTGAACAACTTCATCTGTCATTTAAATTTTTCCAATCCTCAAAGTACTCTCTCTCACTCTCTCTCTCTCTCTCTCTCTTTCCCCCCCCCCCTCTCTCTCTCTCTCTCTCTCTTCTACCAAGCCCTTCTCTTCAAATTTTTGGAAGGCCAGTTAAAGTCATGCAAAGCTTCAACTTTTCAGTGGTAACCACCTTGGCAAACATATCAACTGATTCTTTGTTCCAAGGATTTTCTTCAAGTTTAGAGTTCCTTCATTGATTAACTCTTGAACGAAATTGTACGTAATTTGAATGTATTTTTTTCTATTAAGAAACACTGATTCATTGTTAAGTGAACTACACTTTGGTTGTCATAATGCAGTAAACAATCATTCTAACGGATTCCAGGTTTTGATAAGAAAGTCTTCAACTATATGGGCTCTTTGGCAGCTTCTGTAAGTGCCATGTGTAGCTACTTATAACAATGTGCTTTCATTTTTTTTATTAGAACATTATAAAGTAATGGTTTCATCTTAAAAAGTTCCATCACTTCTTTAGTTGGACAAAATTTTATAAGATTCTCAATGTGATCATCATCTAAGATTGATATATATACATACCTAAATTTGCAACATGTAGATAGCAAATGAAATTGTTTCTATTTAACTCATTCGCAAGATATATTAAGAATATAAAACATTTCCATTTATTCTATGTCAAAAATTTATGTAATATATAAAATAAAAAATTCAAACCTAAAAGTTGCAATAAATCTCTCTCGAAACATAAGAGAAGAAGTTGATCTAAAAAAAGAAAGTGTTTGAAGTTGCGTGCAGATCCAAGGATGAAAAGAAATGCAACAAATAAAGTTTTTTTTTTCTTTTCCCTTTTTTTAATTTGAGATCCAAGACATGATGGTTAATATAAAAAGTTGATTAGTTCATGTATAAAACACTTTAAACATGAACCAAGCAAACCAAAAGAGCTGAAACATGTTGAATTTTCAAAACTGAAAAATGACTATCAATTATCAAAGAGAAGTGCTATAAAAAACATTTGAGAAAATCATGACAAACTTGCTTAATTAAAGTCAACTTTGTAAAGTGTATAGTAAAAAAATCATATTTTCACTAAAAAAGACCATTTTACCCTTACTTTTATATTTTTATTTATCTTTATATATATATATATATATATATATATATATATATATATATATATATATATATATATATTATTGTTTATTTTTTTCCGCATAAATTTTATTCTATTTATTTATAGTTTTTATTATTTAGATCTTATTTGACATTTTTTTGAATATATTGTTTTTTTTTTACATTTTGTTTGTTTATATTTTGTTGAATAATTTTTTCTAGTTTTTGATGTGTTAGAATATATATATATATATATATATATATATATATATATATATATATATATATATATATATATATTTATTGATGTTTTGTTTGTTTATATTTTTTAAAATAGTTATTTGTAAAAAATGTAAAAATGTTTGTTAAATGTGAATATTATTAACATAGATTAGGTATAAAATTGTTTTATTAAAAGGATTAATCGATAAGATAACCGAATTTTGAAAACGATTTTCAAGTTATATAATGGTTAATTGGAAACTGTATAACTTGAAAATGAACAAAATTTCTAAAAATAAAAAATGAACTCAAGAACATTTACATATATGTTTAAGTTATAGGAATTTTGATTTGCATTTGTCACTTGGAACAAAATATAACAAAAATTCAAAAACTAAAAAAATTGAACTCGAAGTCATTGATACTCGTTTCAAAATCCAGTTAGCCTATATAATAACCTTATTAAAATAAAAAAAAATTATACCTAATATGTGTTAATCATATTCACATTTAACAAAGTTTTTATATTTTTTATTCAAAAAATATTTATAAAAAGCTTTACAAAAATATAAAAAAAAAAAAACAAAAAGATCAAAAAAAAAACATTAAAATATATTTGAACAAAACCTTTAAAAAAAAATAAAAAATAAAAATAAAAAAAATAAAAAAATAAAAAAAAACTAGAAAAGCTTTTCAAAAGTTATGTAAATTTACCAAATAAAAAAAACATTAAAAAAAATACATTCGAATAAAATTTAAAAATAATATAAATTATAGAATTATAAATAAGTTAAATTAAATGTAATCGGTAAATATAAAAAAAATAAGCAATCACATAATAATAATAATAATAATAATAACAATAAGGGTAAATGGTCTTTTTAATTAGATTGTGGTTGTGCAGTGCAATTTCTTTAATCCACAAGGATTGCACATTGTCAAATTTTTAAAGGTTAGGAATATAACCAAACCACACGGGCTAAAACTATAATTTCCTCTAATTATCAAAACATGGAAATTGACATTAAAAAAAATCAAAATTAAACAATAATCATTTAAAAAACAAAATACAAATTGTCATAAAAAATCAAAATTACTCAAAATGCATGTTAAAATCGGAATTTATGACTGAAACTATATATATATATATATATATATATATATATATATATATATATATATATATATATATATATATATATATATTATTGTCCTAAATCCTATGCTTGAAAATCAGAAGAAAGAAATTAAGATGAAACAGATGAAGGTTCACATTCGGTACTCTCCAATCTAAAGAATTCAAAAAATTAATAAATAAGAAATGAGATGGTTACATGTGGGGCGGGCTGCAGCGGTGCTCCGACGAGGAGAGGCTCGCTAGCCGACAAAGTAGGGAGCTTTGTGAGCATGCGATGATGTCTAATGAAGAACGCCGAAGAGAAAAAAGAAAGATGCGAGTTTTCGGTCATAATTGTCTTTCATGTCCACTCATCCAGATAAATATGATTTTGGGGCTTTCTATGAAAGACATATCTTACCGGGAAAGTTCATTTTTTTGTGAAAATCAAACGGTCTTTCTAGACCATTCAGCTAGAAAGATCTGTTTGAATCTAGAAAGATGACTATCCAATGAGGCTTTAATTACTATTATTAAGGTTTCAGATCTTTGGCTAGATATTGGTAAAATAATACGCTGGATGCAATGTCATGACCTTGGCATCACTATCCTTCTTCTAAGACATCATGGAGAGAATATGTGGAAATCAATTTTGAATTTGTAGGGACGAACACATAAGACGTAGCTTCTATTTGAGAGGCGGCGATGGGCTTGGAAGAATTTTTAGGGTTATTGTGGCTCTCATACCATAAAGAATGGTATATCTCTCATGTGTTATTATTGAATAAAGCTCCCAATATATAGGGAAGATACATTGCTGACAATCCATTACGGAAGATAAATCAGGAAACTATATTAACAAATCTATCTATATTTATATAAAGATACACATAATTTAATATGATAATACCCATAACCCGACTTAACCAATAACTCATGTTAAGATTACCCAACATTAAGATGCAAAAATTACTCGGTCTCTAACAAGGTTAACCTTTAAATTACTTTTATTAGAAATGGTTAGGTTAGATGACGCATGACAAAAAAAAGTTTGTGAAACAAGATAACTTACCGAATACTCATGAAATCTAGATATGTGATAAAATGCGGTACGGTTCTTGTAAATTAATTTTAGAACCAACCCTATGAAAGAATAAAAAGAGAAATAAATATTCTTTATAATAAACAAATTAATATAATAGACATCAATTATTCAATATAACACATATGTCGTACATTCTTCGTATGGTTGCATAATCTTTTTAAGGGTTGCATTACTAAAAATAACTCATTTCCGACGGCAGTTTAACATCACAAATCTGTCACTAAAAAGGGTGTCATAAATCCCTCACTAAAAGGGTTACACAAACATATTTACATTAAACGTACACTTATAAGGATTTTGTGACGAAATTCCAGTGGATACGTGACGGATTTCCAACGGATGTGATCGATTGTGACAGATTTGTGACTAAGTTTTGCGCTCCACGGTAAAATTTTAGGGGTTGCTCGGGACACCAAGTAGGCCTGCCCTGATTTTTAGCCCGATACTCAAAGGATGCGAACGAAGTATAATATGAATATTATTCTGATTAGAACTGAAGATTTAAAAGATTAATAAACCTAATGGTTTTTCATATATTCCAAAAATGAAGGAACATCAAATGTTCTCTTTTTTTTTTTGAATGATTTTATCTTTTCGTTATGGTAATGCAATGCAAGAGGTCGGAAATCAGGTTGATATTCTCTACATCAAGAGTCTGACAGTGTTTTTGGATGCAAATGATGTATATATTTTTAGTCTGAATAACAAAATGAATTTGTTTAGCCTTTTTAAGTGCCACTTAACATATAGACTAACAAAATTTGTAAATCAATATTTTGGGATTCTCTCTTGGATATATCTAAGTGAAGCACTCTTGTCGAGACTCTCACACATGACAAATAGGTCAAATCTTATTTTTGGTTGAATGACAGATAAAAACTCAAAATCTTTTATAGAAGTATGAAAGACACAGGTTCTTGGAAGTACCAGAAAACAAATCTCATAAAGTTTAATTCTTCTTCATGGTTAAATCCATCCATTTCTTTCAACTTTGGTATAATCTCAATTGACTTACCAAAACTCTTCACAAAAGATGTAAGAAAAAAGCTGCAAAACAGAAAATATCCCATTTACTTGAAACTTTTGGCGTAATTCAGGAATTAGGCCTCAGGGGCATTTTGGAAATTTTTATGGAAACTTTCCTTTTAAGCATTATTTGTGTTAGTTTAGGATACCATCTGTTATAGTATAAATAAGGGTATTGTTTTATGTTTATTTAATCAAGTAGTCAGCAATAAAAGTATATTTTCCAGCAAGTATTTCACAGCTAGCGTTTTTTTCATTCTTCCCCTGTTTTGCCATGTTCTCTTCTTCCTTCCTTCCTTTTCTGTTCAGTTTTCTTTTCTTAGGCAAAAAGGTATCATCAGGTAGATCTCTAACAAAAATCGCATGGCTTATCATAATGAATGTAACTCAAAGCAAAATGTCAAGCAGTTATCAACCACTGTTTCTCACCTCCCTCTCTACAGTCTCATAGATTTGCAACCATTTCAAAACTGGTGGTTATCTCGATAAAAATTCTCATTCACTAGAATGCAAATTGAATGGACTTTTGTGGTTTGCGACTATCATTTCTGCATGCATGATGGTAAAATTAATGCTCATAACATGCATATCACATCCTAGAAATTGTTTACATGGACATGTTTGCAAGGGATTCTAGATATATTCAAAAATCACATTACAAGAAAATAAAATATCAAACAAGCCGAGTACATATATAAAATATAACCGGATTAAAATCCGCTTTATTTTTGCTGAACCATGACACACCATATATATGGTATTGATCAATAAGTTTGAGGATTTGCATGGATAAACCCCTCAATGGCCTTGAAAGTTTTTTTGAATCCTTCTTTTACCATATTGAGAGCTTCCTCCGGAAGCTGAGTTTCACCTTTACAATTATACACAATGGTAGGCTTGTATACACATCCTCCATCAGGTGAAGGTATAAACTTCACATGATGAGTCATCGAATCTAGTTGTCCCATCAAGATGTCTCCTTCAAAGATTGTGTATATAATACTGAAGTTGATGCTATCAACGACGTCAAGTTTCAACTTTCCACTTGTAAATGGGACGCCTGTGTTATCCCACAGTAAATTGGATAAAGAAAATCAAAATACAAGTCAAACATTAAAATAATTTAAAAGAGTATATATAAAAATCTATTTAGATCTTACTAACCATCCCCAAAAGAGATGTCCCTGATAGTTCCAGCGCCTCCATCACCTTGGATGTCCACTAGGGTTTTGTATGTTTCTGGATCGACCTTTGGTGCAATGTTGTTAAAGTCACGATAGGCATTGAAAAATTTGGAAGCTGGGATGGAAGAAGAAATCTCGAACTCAGAAGTTATAACTGCCATGATATTAAATCACTCTTTAAATTGTTTTGTATTTTTGCTTCTTTGAAATGTGGTATTTATAGAACCAACTATGTGTTGCACATGGATGAATAATGGCGTATTATTCTAATTAATCGAGAGACAAATATGGGGTGGTTGCATTTTGCAAATCAGCATTTGTTTGGACATACCCAGGTTCCATAGTGGTGCATTATTTTAATTTATCAAATGACAAATATGAATTAGTTGCATTTTTGGAGTCGGCATCTATTTGGACATTTCGAGGTTCCATGGTGTACGATTTTCTACATACATGTTACCTTAGGCGTTGTTACCATTTCTTATATTAAAAGTTGTTTGATATTCAATCAAGTATATAAATTGATAAAATTAATTTGTAGATGATATGTGAGAAAAAACAAAATTTATAATATTGAACATGGGATATGGATCACAATCATTTTTATTTGGTGTTCAATTTTGAGTATGTCTTATTCTCAACACATAAGAGATATATGTTACGATGTCATTACAATTTAATTTAACAAAATAAGCATATGAGTTTGATTCCTAACAAAACCCAAATTTTGTCTCCGTTTTGCACATCTTCCATTTTCAATCTTACTCTTAGATTTTGGGAGGATGCTTGGTGTGGTGGAGTTGTGTTCAAATCTGAGTTTCACAGATTATTTGCCCTTTCTCTTCTCAAAGATTGTAAATTTTGTGATTTTTGGAATTCTATGGGTTAGAGTTTCTCCTGGCGTAGGCCTATTAGGGGTGGGGTTGAATCTATGCAATTAGATAATCTTTTGTTTATTTTGTCGTCGGTGGTGTTGTCTGCTACCCTGGATAAGTGGTTTTAGGATCTTGATCTGAGTCGGTGTTTCTCGGTTAAGTCAGCAACGAGACAAATTGATGATGCTACCCCTCCAGGGGGGGGGGGGGGGAATTGGTAGTAGATGGAATTCTTATGTGCTTTTAAAACTTAATATATTTTTTTGGTGCCTTTTACTACAAAGATTACCTCTTAGAATGCTTCTGGTGGAAGGATGTGTAGAGTTAGAATCTTTTCTTGTTAAAATGCTCAAGAGGATGAGGCTCATTTATTCTTTCATTGTTACTTGGCTTGTCAAATTTGGAGTAGAATCGGTTTATGGTTGGATTTGACGATCCCAAATTTTGTGGATCAGTCTCAACTTATTAATTGGATTTATACTTCGTTGGAGGCTAGTAGGGATCGGATGGTTGGTCCTTGAGGCAGTGTGCTTGACGGTACTTTGGGTTATCTGGTCCTATAGGAACATTGTTATTTTTTGCCATTCTAAGTTCAAAAATTAGTTTTTTTTATAGTATTTTAGACTTATCTTTTTGTTGGTTTACCTATAGGAACAAAAAGGCTTCCAATAATCCAATGCTGCCTTAATTTTGTATTCTTTGCTAGCTTCTAGGTAGCTTCGTTTTTTAGTTATGTATTTTGCTGATGTTCTAAAAAAGAGATTTTATTTCAAACTTTACATTCCCAACTAATTTCATTATTGCCTCATTTCTTCATCTATCTCATGACTATTTTGAAATTTATCTAACTTTACTTTTCATTTCTGCTCTATTTTCAAAGGTAATAATATAAATCATGTTTTAGACTCGTAGATGAAGGGGAGGTTCGGTAACAAGTTTTTGAGAGCATTTGGATGCTTTTAGTTTTTTGATTTTTTTTGAAGAAAAATCTGAAATTAAAAAACTATTTTTTTCTAGAAGTACTTGACAAAAAGTTTTGATTTTAAACAAGAACAAAATTAATAATAAAAGTTTCAGCTTTGAACTTCCACCTATATCTAGTTTTGCGAAAACACATCCAAAAATCTTACACATGCTATGAGTTATACGAATATAATGTATGCTTGGCTAAAAAGATAGTATTTGCACAATTCATATCGAAGAACCGATTTATTTGCACTATTGAAACAGACTTATTTTTATTCTTACAAAACTATTATGAAGATCATAAATCATAATCATATTACAAACAAGTATTCATCTAAATACTACTTATTGTCTAGTTTGTTTAAATGGTGTTTTTTTATTTAATGTATTTAATATATAAGAACTTAATGAATTCGAATACATACACTTGTTTTTACGCGAAGTTAACAAAATGTTTAATGGTTCAAGTATCCGTATTCATTTCATAATATACCCTTTATTTTCTCCGCATCAACCCACATTCATGTTTATTTATTCAATTTAGTTTTAAAGTATGTTCTCCGTATTTATCCACATCAACCCACGTTCATGTTTATTTATTCAATTTAGTTTTAAAGTATGTTCCCCGTTCGCTCTTTCATCCAGTTTTTTTGAAACGTCAACCAAGGGAATACATTTATTTCTATCAAAAGGTACATAACTTTCTGAAACTATTAAATAACTCAAAATTATATTTTACTTTGAGATCTCACGGAAATCTAGAAACGAAATTTTACAGTGATAAGGATAAGAGCCTATTTATAGGCAAACATGGGAAACCCTAGTTCTGATTGGGCAGGCCCATCCATAACTAGTACATTAAGGGGATGTCCTAATTTCCAACCAATGACGGAGTGCCATGCGAACGCTTCTAGAACCTTCAACCTTATGAGCACCAACCAAGACATGATGGAGCATCCTAGTGAAACTGACATGTGAGTGGCGCATCAGGAGCCATGATGGCACATTATGCCCTATGATGGTGCACCTTCCTTATAAATTGTGCATCTTCACCTTGAATGACGCATCCTTGCTTCTTTGTTCATCAACAACACTTCAACACACAACAATGCACACATGAGTGGTGCATCAAGGACCAAGGTGGCGTACCTTTTGAATCGACGACACTATTGGATTAGGTGTCTAAGCTAATAACTTAATTAGTATAATCTTGAATTGTTAGCAAAGTCCTTTTGGGTTACCCTCAAACCTAGTAATTGAATATAATGATTTTATATATAGAGAGAGAGAGAAAGATATATGTATATATATATATATATATATATATATATATATATATATATATATATAGAGAGAGAGAGAGAGAGAGAGAGAGATTTATTGATTTATTATACGACTAATAAATAGCAATAAATAAATTTATTATTTTATTTTGAAAATAATGTATTAATTAGAAATAGTAATGTGAATAATTAATAAGAAATTAATTAGATAAATTTTCAGATTAATTGTATTAACTAAAAGTACAGGGGCTAAAGTTCAATTGCTCAACACTTAAACAAGAAAGAGTCCAAAATCTTCCTCGCAAGGAGGTGGATGAAATTAGGGTATTCCAGGGTATATGTAAAATTCCTTGAAGATAAACAAGAAGCTGGATAATTACCAAATTGAATAAATATTATTTTATTCATTTAGGGTTATCTAGGGTTTCCAAGTTGCATTATATAATGATCCATAGCCTTCAGTTTTCGGCTACACCTTCTTTTCTAGGAGCTAAGGCCGAAAACCACCACCTCTCTCCTCTCTAAAAAGTTTCTTGTTGCGTTTGTTGGGTGTGAACCATCAGATGCACGACACTTGTGGTGCTAGCTTCCAAGTTATTGAAAAAAGGATTCTTGATTGTTTACTACAACAATCAAAAATGTATGTTGTTCCTTCTATAGTTTTCAAAATTACCTAGGATTAATGTGTATGGTTGTCTAACAATTAAATGTACATTTCTTGAACTTAAACAAAACCAAAAGGAGGAAAACATAATGGCCATTCTGTCACTCTAGAATGATGTGGTATTTTCCACTACATCGTGGTGATCCGCGAATTCATGTTCCTTTTCGTTCGACCACAACATGGTAATTGTTTACCACGACGTGGTGGACCCTCAGATCTGCTAAAAAACCAATTTTGATTAATTCATAAATTGATTAGGATAATTACCTTAGATAATGTTTTTAATTGCATATAAAACTGAGTGATTATCTTATTAATTAGGTATCCTTATCTTGAATTTGTGAATTATCCTTATGTCTTATTTAATTATTTGATTAATTAAAAGATAAAGATCAAAAACATAATTGGTTTATTTTAAATTAGATTAATTCCTTACTTTCAAAAATTTATTTTAAACCTTGTATTTTTCAAAAGTTTTAAAAAACACCTTATATATAATATATTAAAAGTTAATTACTATATATATATAAGATTAACTTAGTCAAATCGCTAGTACGCCTCATTCACCAAGTCATACTATAAGAGAAGTTTAATGAAGCGACCTTTAAAATGACCGCCTTTGGGTATCCATTCTTCCCCACCGCTCTTTTGTATGATGGAGGGTCGTTAGACGAACGAATTTGATGGGACATAACTTCATTAATAAGTATAATGACATAAAAAGTAACTAAACATCTTTTATAAAGTCCCACTCTTAGTTACTTAGGGAAAATATGAAAAGTATGATAATCCATAAAATTTCATATTATACTTTATAGTAGTTAATGGAGCGCACATGGTTAACCGACACATTAATAATGACTATAAAGAGTAATAATGGGCATCTCAAAAGTTATCGTTGATTAATGGAGCATGTATTATTAACCAATAGATTCAAATGAGATGATAAATGACATCATGAGTGCTAAACTAATTTGTATGGTTATTCGCATCTCGTTTATGATTGTCAGTATCCCAATCACAAATAGAATAGCATAATATGATATTAAACATGCTATTGATATATTCAATGAATCTCAAAAGATCTAGGAATTTCATAGTTCGAAATTTGTGAAATGCTTTTACCTACCTTCATAAATTTACAATAAGATTTAGACATCCCTCTTTTTAGTTGTGTATTGTTATTTTGGATCCTAGCCTTAATCATTTATTATGGGTTAAATATTAAGGATAATTGTCATCTAACTAAAACTATTATTCTTTTTCTTTATAGATGTCTACTCCTATTGATGCTTTTGCACCATCATCTTCTACCTACATCTCGGGTTTCTCCCTACTCTCCATCGTCTCCAAAGTTACTTTTGATGGCTCCA